TACCGATATGTCAATGGACTCGGGCCTACACGGTATCCAAAGAACCTGCCATTGATTCAAATTAGTAAAGACAATTACGAAATAAAGATGACAACTAATATAGTAATACAACTAACCTGTTGATGATTCAAACGACGTTTACACTGCTGAATGTTGGCTCTCAACTCTACAGTTTGTGGTGTTACCAAAGTTAAGAATTTGGTTTATCCATAATGTCACAAATTTGGTTTTATGACACAACCATGTTCCCTCAACGTACTCAATCACTGTCGGAAAACTTGCCCACGTTGCTTTCATGGTAGCCAGAGCATGATCATACTCCGCCTCAGTTGATGTATCCATAATACGTTTCCATTTGCCATTTTTAAAACTTCTACCAATCTTCTTGTTTTTAAACATCTTCGACACCCTAGCCTCCACAACTTTGTTAATGTGCCATTGGCAGAGTAAATGAGACGTCCCTGGAAACACTTCTCTCAAAGCCGCACATAGCCCAAGTTCACGGTCTGATAAAAATACCAATGGCTCTTTATCAAACATAATAAATTCCCTTAATCACTGACAACACCCACCAATAGCTTGTCGTGCACTCATTGTGCATGAAAACGTAACCAACTTGAAAATTCTAGTTTGTCGGTGTCACACCTACTATCTCAAAGAACAACATGCCATATCGATTGGTCTTGTAAGTAGAATCCATCCCTATGACGTGTGGGTACGTGCGGAGTATGTTGATTGTGATGGGGTGTACCATAAATTCATGTTGTAGGACGTCGAGCTCATTGCTCATGACCTAGTAAATGTACTTACTCTCTCTCGCCAAATGAAGAAATTGTTGAAAAACTCCTCTTCCTTCAGACATCTTCATCCTGAAATCATTCCAGCAGCTGTAAATGTGCTTGATGTTTGGATGATCATTAGGAAATTATTCTACAGTAGTTTCCATGATGTTACGAGGCACAACCTTGGAATTTATCATGTCACGCACAACTTGTTTTGCACCCGGGCTCAATCCGCTATATTTACGATGAACCTCTTGATACACAATCATTGGGTGCTTATGTGTCCTGGTGTGATCATTTTTCGCACGAATATTCCAACTGTAAGTGGTGAATTCATAATAAATCTTGATATAAAAAGGACAACCATTAGCTTTGGTTTTTGTGTCCTTCTCTATCGCGTTCTCCAAATCTCTCAGCTTGCTCCTCCTTCCCCGATCACATTTAAAATATCGGTACGGTTGACCATCTCTAGTTTTGATATATGACGATTTCCCCAAAATAAACCCGAGATTTATAGAAACAGCATTCGCCCATTTAACTACATTCTCAAATGTTGGAAATAACGAGTCTGTGACGAAATTCCCACTATAATTCATACTGTCACCGCCGTCTTTAGATTCCAAATCCTATACAAATTAAACAAAACAATGGTCTAAGACAATTTGTTCGTTTAATAATATTAATAATAATATTTATAAAACAATTTTACAACTACTAATATTATTAACATTAATAAATAATACTAATACTAATAACAACAACAACAATAACTACAACAACAATAACTACAACAACAATTACAAAACAATAATACCCTAATAATAATAATAATAATAATAATAATAATAATAACAATAACAATAACAATAACAATAACAATAACAATAACAATAGTAGTAGTAGTAGTAGTAGTAGTAGTAGTAGTAATAACAATAACAATAATAATAATAATAATAATAATAATAATAATAATAATAATGTTTCAAAAAATAATTATATTACTTCAACAAAACAATAATTACATTAATTATCAAAAACTTAATCACAACAACAATAAAAAATAATAAAAAAAAAAGTAATTTAATTAATATTTTTAAAAAATTCTGGAAAAGGGATATCCACCCAAAATTTTCGGATGTCCAAAAACTTCCGGATCCACCTTGGAACATCCGGAAATTTTTGGCGGATCCCTACTTTCACTCAAAATTTCCGGATGTTCCAAGGTGGATCCGGAAATCAGGCGGATCCACCCTAGGACATCTGGAAATTTCGGGCAGATGTCCCTTTTCAAGAAAAAAAAAACTTTCTTACAGAATGTTCCGACACATTCTCCGACGTACGAATGTTCCAGTCTTCGTTCATAATCCAAGACCCGTCGGGAAAACTTGATGATTAATTTTTTTTAAAATAAAACGATTTAAGGTGGCCGTGGGGACTGATTTGGTTTGATGGTCATGGGGACCGATGTGGTTGAATCGAGATATTCACGTCGTACTACTTTGAGGGGACCGTTTGATAGAATGTGTCTATATATGTAAAAAAAGTCCTCTTTTTATAGTACAACTTGCATAAAGGGAATTTTTGTCCTTTCAAGTTAAAATGGAAGCGTTATTATGTAAAATGGGAGCGACGAATAGCAAATCACTTTTTAAATAATTTATGTTCTTTTTTTTTGTTCTTTTTTTTTTTGTAATGTGTTCATATATTTTTATGAAATACTCATTTTATTAGGTATGGTCCAATTGTTTTATGATTGTATCATAAATGTTCATTATTAATATACTAAATGTTTATTTTTGTTTAGACGTGCTCATTTATTTTTTGCTAATTGTTCAATTTTGTATGTGTTCATTTTTTATTACTAAGGGCCTATTCTGATTGATGGAATTAAATTGAACTAAACTGAATATTTTACGAGAGAAGGAAATTAAGAACTGAACTGAATAGAACTCAACTTATTGGAGCTGAAATGAACTAAACTGAACTGAATTGAACATAATATGAAGTGAACAAGCACTAAATGTTCAATTTTTTTATGTGTTCATAATTTTTTTTTCACTAAATGTTCATATTAAGGCTGTAGTTTAGCAGTTCAATGATTATATGATAATCATGTTCAATTTTAATATATTACATGATTTTTTTACAATAACATATTCACTTTTTAATACTCAACTAGTGAGTAGCCCGGAAGTTGCCACTTATAAAATTGGAAAAATTTCCCGGAATAATATCACCTTTTGCCCGTCCGATGAAAATAATCCCACCTTTCGATTATTTTTTAATAATCCCACCTTTACCCCCCGATCTTTTTTAATGGTCCCATTACCTGGAACCATTTGAGTAGGTTTTTTTTTTTTGAAGTTTAATTCACACGTGTCGTTACTTGATTGGCCAAAAATTAAAAGTAAAAAAAGTTTAAAAAAAACAAGAACCACCATAGTCACCCCAATTCAGCCACCACCGTTCCCACCACCACCCAAAATCAAACCCTAGAACCACCATCCCACCCATGCCTGAAACCACCGCCACCTAGAAGTCGTCGCGCTGACGACCCCACCAGGCCAACCCAACCACAGACCCCCATTAACCCTTTAATTCAAGACCACAAAACCCACCAAACCAAACCCGACGGGTTTAACACGGAATCGGGGCAAGGAGTTAATGGGGGTTTGTGGTTGGGTTGGCTGGAATTCGGGAATCGGGGCAAGGATTTAATGGGGGTTTGTGGTTGACGCGGCTGGAATTCTGGAAAAGGGAAGGTTGACGCGGCTGGAATTCGGGAAAAGGGAAGGTCGACGCGGCCAGAGGGGGGCGGGGGATGTCGGCAAAGTGGAAATTGGGGGATGGGGGTGGTTGCGAGGCCGAATAGGCGATGGGAGGTTTGGGGTTTTGCCGATATCGACGGTGGATCTGGTGATAGGGTGTCGTTTTGGTCGGGGAAGGAGGTGGTTTACTGGTATAGGTGGGTTAGGTGGTCGGGGAAGGAGGTGGTTTAGGTGTGTTGGGTGGTCGGGGAAGGAGCGGGTTTAGGTGGTCAAGGAAAGAGGTGGTCGGGGTTGGTCGTTAGGGAGGTTGTCGTGCCGGGATTGGTGGCTGGGGAGGTCGCCGCTCCGGGGTCGGTGGTTGGGGAGGTGATTTTGGCTGGTGGGTGGCTTTAATTTTAATTAATTGTTTTTTAACTTTTTAAATTTTTTTATTTTATTATTTAGACTAATCGGGTGCCAACACGTGTCAAGTAACTTGCTGCAGTAAGTTAATTGACCGGTTGGGACCATTAAAAAAGAACGGGGGGTAAAGGTGGGATTATTAAAAAATAATCGAAAGGTCGGATTATTTTCGGCGGACGGGCCAAAGGTGGGATTATTGCGGGCAATTTTTCCTATATAAACTTTAAAAGCTTTAAATAATTGTCATTGTCATTATCAAACTAAAATTAAGTTTTTTTAAGTATATTTTTTTTAATTGAACCTTATGGTCGGTTTGCACTTATATAATTGTTTTTACATATTATAATAACATACTTAATAAATGGCTTAGATGGTGAATTAGTTATCTCTCTTACAAGAGGCTGAGGGCTCGATCTTTCTTATCATAACGTTTTTATATATGAGTAATGTTGGTTGTTTGGGTGATGTGACATTGTTTGAGTGATTATATGGCGTCATGAGATGTTGGGAAGATGACGTGGCGTATCAAAAAAGGACTATGTGGCACATTGACATTTTAAGGTACGTCTTTAGTATATATCACTACTACAAAAATGGGCAAAGAGACCCGTTGAAATATGCTTGAGAGCCCACCCCTAGAGGTCTCTTTTATTCAGAGAATTTCTCGTGAGGGGTTTGTTTGTGCGGACAAACACCACAAGTCTGTTATTTACGTGATGAGATTAAAAGTTTCAAAGAGAAAGAGACCTGTTGTTTAATATAAGGGGTCTATTTAACTATATGAAACAGACCTGTCAGGTCAAATAACGACTCTCTTTGTTCTTTATATTTTGAATTTTTTTTTTTTTTTTTTTTTTTTTTTTTTTTTTTTTTGCGGTTTGCATTTTAATTAATTTTTTTTACGCTCTATACAAACTGGCAGAATTGAGGAGCAAAATTATACGGAGTAGATTGGTATTAGTAATTTGTATACTTAATTTATATGTAACATGCAAATCACACTTCAAATTGAGAAGGTGAAAAAAAATAAAAATCAATGAACATAAAATCCCTACAAAAAAATGTTTGAATTTATTGAAATTTACAGTTACAATTACATTAATTAGAGTTGAGTACTCCATTTTCTTCCTTCTTTGTTTGATTGTAACGACATCAAGCAGATCTGACAAAACAAAATTAAATTAATGAATGATTATAATTGAGAATTCCACAAAGTAAATGAGATATGCACTACAAATTTAAAGTGTAAATATAAAATTTAATTAACATACAAACAATAGGAGAAAAAAAGAGTACCAGTCATTAAAGCTTCTTCGAGATTTCGACTCTTGAATTGCTTCGGAACAACATACTTGTTAGTCTCATCTACTTAATCAGCCACAAATGCATAATCAAAGCACATAACCTTACATAAAATCAACGGCAAACTTAAAATCTAGAAATTTCAAAATTCCAGACAAAAAAAAAAAGAATCAATTGAAACTTGTAGAATTATAAACAAATAATTTCATATATAACCTCTTGAGAGACAGAAGCAGATTACAAAGCGAGCGCAAAGAGGAGAGAGACGTGAGGTTCGAAAGCCGACATGGTTGGGCATTGCTGCGGTTTTGAAGGAGAACGAAGCATGGTGAGATTATATAAGCTTTGATTTATGGTGATAAAATAAAATAAGGTGGTGTTGAGGAGGAGGAGGTGGAAGGGACCACCAACCTTAAAAAGGAGGAGGAAGCAACAGTTTTTGCTCAAAGAAAAAAAAATGAGAGGAGAGTGAAAGAGAAAAGGAAAGTGGGTGACTAATGGAGGATGAATAGTGATGGGAAATGGGGAAATGAAGAGAAAGAAATAGGCTTTTGCTATCAATCCTTTAAGTGGTGGGCCCATACACATATAAGAGACCTCTTATTTTTTTTCCCTCCATCTTTTGGTGGACCCTATGATACATAAGTGACTAGTTATCTCTAATATCATATCTATTATATTAAAGATAGCCGTTGAATACATCAACGGGTCTTTTATTATAGGTTCCTTTGACCATTTTGTAGTAGTGTATTATAGATGTTATTTAATTATTACTGTAGGCGTCGTTCGAAGTGCGCCTACGTTAAAGCATGTTGTGAATATGCTTGGCACTCATAGGAAGTGGGAACTGACATACGATTAGGGGAAAGAAAAGTAGGGAGCCGCCAACAAGTTTTTAAGGAACTTGTAAACCGTTCACGGATCATAAAAGGCAACCACGAATAAAGGGACAACGATAGGCAAAAACGATTGACCCGTGAAGGTTACACCCCATTCATAATCCATGAGATTACTAACTCCATATGGTTCGGAACCACTAAAGGAGGATCGAGGATGATGGTACGAAGTGAGTCATGGAGTCACATTCGCCCATATTGGCCTCTACTCGATTCTTATAGTGAAAAGTGATTCCTACGATCTCAAAGGCATGCTAACAAAGATTCAATTTGCTCCAATCTATTATTAGGGTAAATTGGTTTAATATTAATGCAACATATAATTCTAATATATCATGATCACTTTATTAAACAACAAGATTAAAAAGGAATCTAAATCGGTTGTCCAAATTATCTTATTAGGTGTGATTTTCAATTACATATTCCCTTTAAGCATGCAATGTGGAGATCAATAAATATAATAGAATATACATTAATATTGGAAGTAATTTAAAAATAATAGCGTTAGTCAAATCAAATATAAATAATAACCCTAATCATGATACTAGCAATATAAAAATAAAATAAGAGTTATTAAAATAATCAATTACTCACATTCCGCGCGTTCCTTTAAATTGCTACATCATGAATAAATTGTTAGTAACTTCAATAAAAAAAATATAAATTAAATTAAAACAATTAAGTAAATGTAGAGTTTATTTGGTCCAAACCCTAAGTTAATTCTACCTATCACGCCTTGGTTAAAGTATAGAACTTTGGGTATTATATGAACTCCTTGGAGTGCTTAAGGGAAGTATTATGGAAGAATAGAGAGGCTAGTATTTAGGCTAAAGAGGGAGAAGAGAATGATTTTATGATCAATATTGTTGATCCTTGGAAAAGGGGAGATATGACCTCTATTTATAGAGAAAAAAGAATGGTCGAAAAAACAAGATAAGATCCGAATTAAATCGGAATAAAACTTGATAGACTGCAGTTTTTGCGGTTTTTGTTTTTATCATATCTTTTGATCCAGAAATTGGAATAAGATGAATAAGATATATTTGGAAATATCTTGAAGTCTACTTTCTAACCCAATTAGAATCAGATTAAAACAATTTATAGAATAGAAGATATGGCTGAAATAGTGAGACGGTGTCGGTTTTGGATAGAGTTTGATATTTTATTCATATCTTTTCCATTATAGCCCAGGATTGATATTATAATATATCATTTGAAAGATAATTTCAAGGACTATCGAACCATATAAAATTTGGATAAAAACTATGAGGCACGAAAATAATATCTATCTATCTTTGAACGTCTTTCAATTCGGATAAAATTAGAACTTTAAAAAAAAGGAGTTTTATTCAATTCCAAACTCTTTAATCTTACCTTTTCAAAAAGGATAATTAAGATCTTTTAGAAACTTGTAGAAGCTTCCAATTAATCCTAATTGGTTTAAGAATTGGATTAAATCATTTGGACCCTCCACATGATCATTGGGTCGTAGGTAAGGTGGGCTTAGGTTCGGTTTAGGCTCAGTTTAATATTTTGGTCACAACTTATTCGTTATAACTCGGATTTGGGCTTATAATATATCATTGGAAAGATATTTTCATGCCCCATCCAACTATTCAATCATTTGACTCAGATTATGGATCAAAATAACTGGATTAAACGTTTTTATAAAAAGAACACGAAATGAATGCTTTTAAAGGACACAAAATGAATTATTTTGGGTTTAAAGGCACGAAAAGAGGAAAATAAGTTATGATTTGGGGAAATGGGTTAGGAATTGGGTTTTTTTTATGAAATGGAAATATGGATTTAAGCACTCCAAGATTAAATACTCAACCCGACCAATAATGACGGTGAAAGGTTGTTCATCATTGGGTTTTGTTTTGGGGAGACATTTTTAGGTGTCTACAATTACGTGTTAATTTTTTATGTTTTTTTTTACGTGTTCAAATGTTTTTATTACTAAGGCGCATTTGGTAAAATGTAGTTATAAAGATAGTAGTTAGCTCTGATAGAACGTAGCTGCTAGCTATTTGTTTTGTTGTTATCTGTCAAATAGCTATTAGTTATGAAAATATATAATTAAGTGTGAGTGTTTGGTAATCTAATGGCTGATTAGCTATTAGTTGTAAAATTCTCAAAATATAGAAAAAAAATTTCAACAACTACTTAGCTTTTCACAAAATTAAGCTATTAATATTTAACTTTTGACAAAAGATACTCCAAGCATCAAACTCTACTCCCACTATTATATTGTCAAACACTCAAGAGGTGTTTGGTTCGCAAAATGGTATGGGGATGGAATCAGGAATGAAACCATAGTGGTATGGGTTTGGAACTTGATTCTTAATACAATAAGTTTGGTATTCTTATGGAATGCAATTTTTTTTTCTTTTATTTGATACCTAAAAGCACTAGTGGAAAAAAGGCCGTCCGTAACGGGCAAAAACTTAAGTATGGGAATGAGCCAAACCTACCTCCCTTCCAAGGTTTCTAAATCTCATATCTTGGGCATTTGAGGTATGAGTTTGAAACTTTTAAAATAATAAAACAAACATAAGGTATGGTTTTAAACCATTTTAAACCCATACCTTATACCTTAATTATGTGAACCAAACGCCCCCTCATATTCTTAAATAAGTAATGGTTTGAATAAGCCAAACCACTAAAAACTACATATAACTAAACATGGGCACGGGCCGTGCCAGCACGCGGGCAGCACGGGCCCGGCACGACTCCGCCACGGCACGGCACGGCGGCCCACCTGTGGGCCGTGGGCCGTGCCATGAACAAATTTGTGGGATTTGGCACGGGCACGACACGTGGCACGCCGGGCGGCACGGTGGCCGGCACGTGGGCCGGCACGCTGGCATGACCCGACAGCACGGCACGTGGCACGGCCGGGCACGGCACGGCACGACACGAGCCCGCAAGGCACGGCCCGGCACGGCCCATGCCATTTACCGTTGGAAAACTAGCCGTTTATGGCCGTTTTCCAACAGCTATAAACGGCTAGTTTTCTACCCCTTTTCCCACCCAAATTCCCTATAAATACCTCATATTTTCCTCCAAAATTTTCACAATTCATCAACTCATCTCTTCTCTCTTATTCTCTAATTTTCTTACTCCCAAATTCTCAATTCTCAAATTCCTACAAATCCTACAATCTTGCTCTCTTTTGTGAAAAAAATAAAAATTCCTACTCTCTTATAAATTTTACATTTTTACTATTATTACCTTTATTAGTCTACTACCAAAAAAAATTGTTATATTTACATTCGGGAAATTATAAATTCGGGAAATTATAAATTTGGGAAAGCATTGAAGCGTCATTGTAAGATCTAACTCAACTTTATTTTAATTTGTTATTGTTAGTTGTTAATCTTGTTATTATTATTATTATTATTATTATTATTATTATTATTATTATTACTATTATTATTATTATTATTATTATTATTATTATTATTATTATTATTATTATTATTATTATTATTGTATTATTGGAAGTTGGAACTACTTAATTATATAAAAACTACTTTCTATTTTAATTGTGGGTTATTTGGATAGTTGAAATCTGTCTAAGGAGGGACTTGGGCTCTGGACAACGTCGCTCCTAACCTCTCCTACCTGGGATCTCATTGATCCAACTAATCTACTATTATTATAATTATTTTTAAAAAATTTAATTTATATAAAAAATAATTACTAATTCTTATTGTTATTGTTATTATTATTGTTGTGAATTGTTATTATTATTGTTATTGTTACTTTGTTATTGTTATTGTTATTTGTATTATTATTATTATTATTGTTATTGTTACTTTTATTGTTATTATTATTAATTAATCATGGCATCAAACCCGAACGCTTCCTCCTCCTCTAGAAAAGCCAAGTCAAAACGTAGGGAATCACCAAATCCAAACACTTCAATGCCTATTCCCCCCCCCCCCCTAACATGCCCTTTCCCTCCCCTAACATGCCCTTTCCAAACACTTCCACCCCTTTCTTTCATCCCCAAAACACGGGAAGGAAAGAACAAATGGATGATATGGCTCCTTGGACCCAATTTCAACAAAGCCAATTTCAACAGTATGAATTTCCTTTACTCATCCTTCCCAAGGTAGCCAAACACAAGCCTCCGAGTCGAGTGAACCATCCACCCAAATTCCCAACACCCAAATCCTAACATATTAGAGTGGTGTACCGAAGAGGATTTTGCTCAAACCAAAAGAAAGAGTGAAGTTTGGTCACATTATCAATTAAGTAAAAATGGACAAAAGGCCAAGTGTCGGACTTGTGGTAAAATTTTCTCGGCCGATACCAAGGGAGGGACGGGACACCTTAACAGACATACAAAAAAATGTGGTGGACCATCTAGTGATCCAACCCAACCCAAAATTTCTCAATTCCATCCACAAGGCTTCATTTACAATTACGAGAGAGATAGGGATGAACATGGGAGAATGATTGTACATGCGGAACAACCTTTTCTTTTCGCCGAAAATGATGCCTTCAACAACTATGTTAACCGAGCACTACAACCAAAACACAAAAAAATCTCTCGAAAAACCGTTCGATCTGCTGCCATGAAGAGTTATCTAGAGTACAAATTGAAATTAGTAAATGAAATAGCTAATCTTCCTAGTAGAGTTTCTTTAACCGCCGATACA